CAATTCAATTAACATGAAATAGCTTACGGTATTTGATCAAAGTTTACGAAAAGAAAATTATGATAACTATTTTGGAACGGAGGGACAGTAATATTCTTCCTCTTTCCCAAGAATCATAATAAATCAAAATATAAATATGTTTAATATATCAGTTGGGAAATTCAGCAGTTGCCATCTTGGTAGTTGCTCTGACTCCTTCCACCACCTTCCACCCACCCCCCACCCCACCCCCTCTTTCGTTTCTTCTACGTCAAGAAGTACAATTCAAAAAGAAGAAGATTACACACAAAAACTCCAAAAAGTCTCCTCTGTTCTCAGTCTTCTCTGGACACTTTCTTGATTTTTGCCCCCTTATGTAATCCATCTGTTTCTTTCTCCTCTTTACACCTCTTCAAACTTTTTGTCTATACATATTCTGAGCAACCCCAAACACACAAATTGTACCAATAGTAAATATGCTTGTACCTTTACACCTTCCTTCAAACATGGGTGCTCTGTTTTTCCAAGTTCTACTTTTTTCCTTGATAGTATCGAATGTTGATGCAAGGTTTATAGTTGAGAAGAACAGTATTAGTGTTCTGTCTCCTTATTCATTGCACTCCAAACATGATGCCTCTATTGGTAATTTTGGTGTTCCTGATTATGGTGGTTCTTTAGTTGGAACTGTTGTTTATCCTAGCAAAGGTGCTAATGGCTGCGCTGAATTTGATGGAGATAAACCCTTCAAGTCTAAGGCTCATCGTCCTAATATCCTTCTTCTTGATCGTGGAGGTAATTTTATTTTAATTTGGAAAACTAAAAGATCAAATTTTTGGGTGATTTAAAGTTTTGATTTTTGATTTGATGTAATGTTGTCTCTGTATCTAATCATATTCTGCTAGAGGTTTCTTCATTTCCCATGGCTCTAACATCGAGAGACCGAATCAGAATTTAAAGTTTATGAGTTTTGAATTCTATGATATCAACAACAAGTATTAGTAATTAATTTTTCCTTGATTACAAATACAGAGTTTAAATTCTAAATCTTAGAGGTTATTGCTGATATTTGAGTATCTATTGGAGTTAAAAGGAACTAAATTATATTTCTAATTAAGTTGAAGAAAGTTACATTTCTTTTAGGTTTTGTTTCTAAGAGACTTATGAGTTATTTGACTGTTTCTTGGAGTTGAAGGAGGTTTCTGAATCTATTTCTTTAGTTGAGCAGCCACTATCAACTATACGGATATTCGTTTTTCTATGCAGAATTTACTAGAAAGTTTGACGTATTAGATAAAGCTATATGTTTATAATAATTATGTAAACAATTTTTTTTTTCCAGACTGCTATTTTGCATTGAAGGTATGGAATGGGCAACAAGCTGGAGCAGCTGCAGTTCTAGTTGCTGATAGTATAGATGAGGCTCTTATAACTATGGATTCTCCTGAAGAAAGTACGGATGCAAATGGATACATCGAGAAGATTGGTATCCCGTCAGCATTGATTGAAAAGTCCTTTGGTGATACATTGAAAGAAGCTCTTAAGAAGGGAGAGGAAGTTGTGATTAAAATGGATTGGACGGAGTCAATGCCTCACCCTGATCAGCGAGTTGAGTATGAGCTGTGGACTAATAGTAACGATGAGTGTGGAGTTCGTTGTGATGAGCAGATGAATTTCATCAAGAACTTCAAAGGACATGCTCAGATACTTGAAAAGGACGGTTATACTATGTTCACGCCTCATTATATTACTTGGTACTGTCCTGAAGCTTTCATTCTTAGCAGCCAGTGCAAATCTCAGTGCATAAATCACGGGAGATATTGCGCTCCTGATCCTGAGCAGGACTTTGGGGAGGGGTACCAAGGGAAGGACGTTGTCTTTGAGAACTTGAGGCAGCTTTGCGTGCATAGAGTCGCAAATGAGAGTAGCCGTTCTTGGGTTTGGTGGGACTATGTGACGGATTTTCATATTAGATGTTCAATGAAGCAAAAGCGATACAGCAAAGAATGTGCTGAGGAGGTCATGAAATCGCTTGGTATCTCCCTTTCGAGTAATCTTTTTTTGGTCACTATTGATTATTTATACTGTTCACGGTAGTTACTCTTTGAGTTTTTATTCGATTCATCAGATCTACCGGTTGACAAGATAAAGAAATGCATGGGCGATCCAGAGGCTAATGTAGAAAATGATGTGTTAAAGACTGAGCAAGACCTCCAGGTATCTTCATTTCTGAAAATCTCTAATCATTTCATAATTTGTAACATGATTGACCATTTTGTGATTTTTGCAGATATAAATATCTGTGTTATCACGAACACGTTACATATAAACATAACTTTTTCCTTTGGTTCCCTTGATAGGTGGGCCGAGGACCTCGTGGTGATGTGACAATCTTACCGACAATGGTCATCAATGATGTTCAATATCGAGGTATGATGTAGATGTAGAAAAATAAGATCCTATGTAGACTAACTAATTGCTTATATTTGTTGCTATTTTATCGATAAATCTTCAAGGGGATATAATATTCTCCGCGGATCACTCTTTTTGAGTACTCAAGTTCTTTTTTACTGTTTCTTTAAGGAAAATTGGAGAGGACTGCTGTTTTGAAAGCCATATGTGCTGGATTTAAGGAAACAACTGAACCTTCGATATGTTTAAGTGGAGGTTTGACACCATTCCCTTCTTCATGATCTTGACTACAAGACATTGCATAAAATTGAATGAGTTAGCTAATTGTTGCTTATTATCAATGAACAATAGATCTTGAAACAAACCAATGCCTAGAAAGGAATGGTGGCTGTTGGCGAGATCCTAAATCAAACATAACTGCCTGCAAGGTATGGCAAATAATGCTCTCTGAAACCTTTATAAAATTATCGTCTTCCTTCGTGGAAAACTATTGTGGTATATATAACAACCTTTTGCATATGAGCCTCATGCTTGTGTTGTTCTACTTGTTTTAAAGGATACATTTAGAGGAAGAGTTTGTGAGTGCCCTTTGGTGAATGGCGTTCAGTATAAAGGAGATGGATACACATCTTGTGAAGGTAAGGAAGTGTTGCTTCTTGTTCTTTAGTTATACATCCGTTAATTGACAATTGGCTTTTCGAGTTGCTAGTCGCTCCTGAACATTGGAAGACTTAAATATTTCCCCCCCCCTCTAACTGGCTTGCAATCGATTGACAGCCATTGGACCTGGAAGGTGTACGGTAAACAATGGAGGATGCTGGTCAGAAACCAGAAATGGGCAAACATATTCAGCATGTTCAGTTCAGTAAAATCAATACTTTCTTTAACTGTATTTAGTCAAAGATTAAACGATTTTATGTGCTTAAATCTGGTTTAACGCAAAGCAGGAGGGTGAACTATCAGGCTGTAAGTGTCCGTATGGTTTTAAAGGAGATGGCCATAAATGTGAAGGTATGTAACATTCTTGTAGATCCTTTTACGATACTAATATTTTCTCGTGTTTGGTAAGTACTGATTCAAATGTCGTTCCTTTCAACAACAAAAAAATCAGATGTAGATGAATGCAAGGAAGGAATTGTTTGTCAGTGTGATGGCTGCAGCTGTAAGGACACATGGGGCGGATTCGAGTGTAAGTGCAAAGGGAATCAACTGTACATAATGGAGCATGATACTTGTATAGGTAAGAAACAGTTGATTCAGCACTAATAACAAATTGTTCAAAATTTAACCATAAACGGCTGCCTCGGTGAAAACTTGCATTTTGCGAAGATGCAAAGCATCGATTTCACGATAATAATCTTTCATGACATAACAAGATGAACTTACAATATTACTTTGTTCCTTAATTGTACAGAAAGACACTCATCAAAGATCGGACGGGTCCTTATGTTCTCTTTCCTAGCCATTGCAGTGGGGGCTGGTTTAGCTGGTTACACCTTTTACAAGTATAGACTTCGGGTAAGCATATCGAGTAGTTATTAGAGTCTTTATTCTTTCACAATAATGTATTGTCAAATAGTCATACTTATGCTACTACAACAACAATTATGCCTCAATTCCAAGTTACTTAGGGTAGGCCGTATGAATCTTTAATATCATAAATCTTCTGTTTGGGAACAGTCTGCCTTATGCTAACTATTGGTAAATTTTTATAGTCATACATGGACTCGGAGATTATGGCCATCATGTCACAATACATGCCTCTCGACAACCACAATCAGAATCAGGTTGTCCATCATGAAGCTGAACCTCTACGACAGAGCTCAGTATGATGAGTATTGCCTGGTGCTAACGTACGATTTCCCATCCTTCTCTTGGATAGAAGATGAAGAACAGAGTCATATTTAGAGGAAAACTACAATGAGATACCTGATGCTGGTTTGCCAACTCTCTAGTCCATAAAGAACTGGCTTTTTCCATTTGTGTATAATAGAGTTTTGAGATGTAAATGCAGGATTCATTTGTGTTAAAAGGACATATAGAACAAAATACACTTGCGAAGGCAACCCATGGCTTTTTACATTATTCAGCAATCGCATCCTTCTTGATTATAATATATAACTTGGCAAAAATAGGATCTTTTGCGTCAATTTCACTCAATAAAGAATGAATTGTACTTGTAAGAGTATTTTCACATACAGTGGCATTCTTGCTTTTATTCGGATTTAATGTCATGAATATTGAAAAAGATTTAGTTAACACTTGTTCGAGGCATAATGACTAAACGTCTTCCTCTACCAACTAACTGATAGAAAAATCCTTACACAAGTTATAAGTAAAGGCATGAGCTCACCCATCTCTCAATAAATGAATCTAACCAAGGAACCCCTTCCCCGATCACCCAAATGAAGTACGTATTCACTATCTTCGACTTTTATCTTTACTCTTCTACTTTTACGACCCCTCTAGTCCCTTCTCACTAGATCATACATAATCAAATAGTTGAAAGTAAGGAGCACTCTACTACAAGCACAAGTTGACTATACACACATGAAGCTGCAACCAATCACTTCTATGGATGTGCAAAATAGAAACACATGGCGAGAACATGATCCCATAGAAAGCAGCTTCTTTAAAGTATGTCGATCACATTCCTAGCTGTAAAATGTCACTAGTACTGTCATCATCAGTTGAAAGTGCAGTTAAGATAATTGGACCCCATAAAAATGGGGTGGATCAAGCTACAAACAGGACAAAAGCACAAGCATATATAAGCTACCAAACCGATTCCCTTAAGAATCATTAACAAATTAAAACTACTGGCGGCACATTAATTATCTGCCAGAACATAATCATCAATCTGCAACCTCCTCCAAAAGCCCGGACAAACTGCAAAAAGGGAATTGAATCTTTGATGTCAGCCAACAGGTTCTCACCAAACAATAAAACGAACACACCAATGAAAAGAGCAAAAACAATACCTGCTTTTACTACCAAGATAGAACCTCACAACACAACTGACCAATACATCATACATCACAGCCTCTAACAGGGGTAAAGCTGTGTTGATAAAATAAAGGCATCAGAGAAACCTTAGCCACTTTCTCCATACAGCAGACTACACAAAAACAAATGAAAAGAATGAAGCTACATAGGACTTGAACAAAGGGGGCTCAAGTGCCCCAAAAACGCACCACATAAGAGGCAGGCGTGCTTGGGACAAGCATCTCCAAATCACGACACACACATCTTCTACAGAAATAGGTCCTAAATCCACAGAAGAGTTTGAAATATTAATTGCCAAGGAAAGCCTCTAAAATTGTAAGGAATGTTTGCCAAGAAGACATCAGAAAAGTTCTAATCCCAAAATGGCCTTGGACTCAAAAGATACAACAAAATAACAACTGAGCTCTAGTTAGAGGGTGGAGCAACTGCACATGTTAAGACGCACAAATTAGTAACATAAACATAACCCACAGTCGTTGCATCTTATAGGAATAGAACTAGTACTTCCTGTTGTCGTCATGGATAATCACCAACATGCCAAAATCTGTAGTAGATACCCACAACCATCAGCTTGAAAGATAAAGTTGATTAAATTGCAGAAAGAAAATCTAGAAGTACAAGACCAATATAATCTCCAAAATAACATGAAAGAAGAATGGAGAATTCTTTAAATTCATAACAAGGATTAGGATGCCGAATAGTTGCAAAATAAACCTTTGAAAGCCATGTCAAATAACTCCTCATTCATCTCTTTCTCCCACCACGTTCTCTCAGAGAGAGACTGAATGTTTCTCCAGAAGCAACATTATAGTATGCAAGAGACAAGTTGTCCTTGAGAAAACCAGCCTTTCCACTCAGCTTTTGTTTGTTCGCAGGAAGCTGGATCTCCCCAGATATCTTCTCTTTCAGACTGGCAATGGTTTCAGACAGAGATAGCACAGTGATTTCCAGAACTTGTCCTTTGAGATTCCCTTCATCGGTATTCGGCACAGATACATTGATCCTTGCAGGTCCCTGCAATATAACCCAGCAGGAAATAAGATTTCCATGGATGTAAGAAAACATCAGACAGACAATTATGTAAAATAGTTCTTTTAAAGCTATCCTTACCGAATGCTGAGCCAAAAACTGGTCTTCAGGAATGAGAACAGACTCATCAAGCTTTTGCCTCTTCGGCTCCGGCTCTTCAGGGAGAGGAGGAGCTTCTTCTGGTGGAGGAGGTGGCGGCATTCCTTGGGGCATAGGAGGAGGCGGGACCATAGACATTCCGGGCTGGGACATCGGGTGGGGAACAAAGGGCCGAGGTGCTCCCATAGGTGTAAACTGTGATCCAGGAGGTGGTGGAATAGGAAGGGTATGCGAACTCATAGCCATTGATGGAGGCATTGGGGGACGATTGACCATGAGGTTTTGCTGACCTTGTAGTTGTAGCATGGGAGGAGGTGGGGGCCGAACCTGAGGAATCATGTTAACCATAGGAGGTTGAGGTGGAGGCGGAGCAGCACCAGCAATGGTTGGTGTGGAATACTGGAATGTATTAGGAGGCCTAGGAATATTCAGCGCAAGCCCAGGAGGTGGAGGTAGTGGCCTAACAGAAGGAAGACCGGGTCTGGGAGGTGGAGGAGCCTGTGGACCAGGAAGGTTTCTTACATCATTTGCAGCATCATTCTGATCCTCTGCATTGTTCTGAGACATTGCCTGGCTTGCAGTGCGGCCAATGCTACCTGTGTGACCATCCCATATGACCTGCTTCGGCTCTTCTATTTTTTTCTCAATCTCAGCCTTGACCGCATTTGAAACTTCTTCTTCTGTAGTACCAAATATATCTGGACGAGTTCGTGCAAGCCCAACAATGTTCCTAGAGATCTCATCATCTTGCGCAAGAGTCGTTTCCTTAATCTTCGCAAACATCCTGTCCTTCTGTTCCTTGTACTTCGGATCAATGAGAGAGATCCTCATATGTTCAGACATCTCACTAATAGGTATTAACTCACCAGTTATAGGAGAGACAACATACTTAGTTGGGTCCCTTTCTGCCGGGATTCTCTCTTCAGGCCTCTTCCAGTTCTTCACAATCCGCATTGGTGGATCATTTTCTTCGGAAATTGCCATTGTTTCAGCACTCTTGACACCACCATTCCCTTCAAGAGTCGCAGCTCGCATACCTTCTTCAACTAGCTGCACCTCTTCTTCATCCATCTCCATTTCCACCTCCTTTCCAGGCTCAACATATTCCTCTTCCTCCAATGTAGGCATCTTGCTCCTCCTTATAACCTCCTCAAGGGTCATAGGTGGAGGTAAATCCTGATCCTCATCATCAGCAAAATCTATCGTCTCAACAACAACAAAATCATGCCAATCAATCATAGCCATCTGCACCCTCTCCTGTTCTATCTCATCTTCAGCTTTCTGTCTAGCCTGCTCCTGTGATCTTTCCCATTCCAACCGATGCAGACAACGCTCTAGGACTGTTGTCATGTCAGCAGCACTCTTCTGCAGCTTATTCGTCAAGCCTTTAGGAGGCATCAGAACTTTTGAATACGCATCCGCAAGTGAAGTGAAAAACATGAACATGCTGTGAGTAGGCTTTAGAAAATGAAATTGGGGATTATTCATCTCTCTGCTTGTCAACCCTGTTAAGAAAGACTTCCCATTTCTGGCCACAAATTGTGATGTAAGCTTTATGATATCCATTTCTTCACCTGTGATCCCTTCAGGGAGTCGAACAGTATATTGCTCTGCCTCAGGTGGCTCAAGAACCTTTCTGACAGGTCTAAATTGAGCTGACGGGTCAGGTTTTGCAGTTGCCTCAGCACCATCAGCGGTAGAAGGAGCAGGGGTTCCTTCTTTGTCTTCTGGCTGCTCTCCAGAACCCTGATTATGTGCGCGAGCTTCAGCCAAACGGTGCTGATAATAGGCATGGTAAGGATCAGAAGCATTCAGGAAGTTGAATTTTGCATTGCCAGCGTTATTTAGAACAATCCTCTTCTCAAATTCCGGACCATTCTTTGCCACAAACTGCGAAGTCTTGTCAACAATACTCCTAATATCTGGAGGGGGATAAATAATACCAATAGTTCTCGTATGTGTTGCAACAGATGTTGGAACCTTGTCCTTATTGTTTTCCTCTTCATTCTCTTCCATCTTAACATCATTTGGTTCCTCTACCACCTGAGCTAGAGGTGTTGGTCCCAGATTCCCATCCAACGGGGGTGCCGGAAGGGGCAATATTGGTGTAATGCCTAACATTTCTATTCCTGCAAGTTGCAGCATATTCCATTTTGAAAAAACCAATCATTCAGCTCTGGCAGATAGCCTTGAGCACAAATAACTGAAATAATAAAAAATAAAAAAGAACCCCAAATAAATGTTTCTATCTTCATTTTTTTTTCCCTCAGGCAAACCCAATCAACATGCTCCCCACTTCAGTTTTATTCAAGCAATTGGAATCCAGAAAACTACTTATACCTTTAACTTATTCAAGCAAGAAAGCCCAATAATATGCTGATAGTTTCGTTTCGTTTCATCTCATTCTCATCTCAAATGAGCAAAGACAGGGAAATTAACTTAAACAGTACATTAGTAGTCCGCCCAAAAAAGTAGCCAACAGATGTATAATATGTGTACATTAATTGTATAATATATGCTGAGCAGACAATTGTGTTTATTTGTCATAAACAACCTAACCAACCTTAACGCACCAAAAAAAAAGCGAAAAATAACACAATTCCATATTACAGGAAGCAAACGAAAAGAAATTTACCTGATTAAACAAGCTGGTAATGAAAAATCAATAAATGGAGTACCCAACCAAATCCCTCTCTGTTCAAAAACGGCCGGAAATTTCTGTCCGATTGGATAATTACCGTCGACGAGAGATTTTTGCAGAGAAACGAAGAGAAGCGGGAGCTTGAGATTCTAAAGTAGATGAACCTTCTCGCCGACTATACATGACCCGGATTCGTATAAGGCCCAATGTTAAGATTTATGGGCTGTGGCCCATATTTTCAGCCCAACATCATTTAAGGCCCAATCTCTAACAATCAATGTATGATGTTTGAAGTAGTGATTCCATCTTTAATTTCCAATATGAAAAGTGTGTTTAAAATCAAGTGAATTAGTATAATTTACATAAATCTCAAAGTGTTAAGAGTTAATTATATTATAATCCTGCTCTTTTCCAAATTATAAAAATCCCTAAAAATTATGAATTCTGGATACATCACTGATACGAGAGGGGATTCTTGAATTTTTTTTTAAATGGTAGAAATTTTTAGATGTTATAATAAAATAAGAGGTGTATTTAGGTAATTTTTCCTTATTAAATAGTTTGGAAAGATTTAAGAATCATTATTATTGCAAGTTTGAAGCAATAGGCCTTGGAATTTTTTTATTTTATTTTTTCAAATAAGACGCTTATGTTACTTTATTTGTTCCAAATTATAGAAATAGTGTTTGATCGATTCAAAATTTAACACTTATTTGGTTGACATAAAAAAATAAGTTTGAAGTAATAGTTTAAAAAAAGAGTATTTATAAGTTAGAATTGTGCTTAAACTAAAATTTTACTTGAAAATTGAAGTCATTACAAGAATTGGTGGTTGTTTTAGTAGAATATCCATCTTGATATATAGTCATTAATGTATAAAGAACTTAATCTCAAGCCTTCTTAATATTTGGAAAGACCCGCCGGAGAGAAAGCTTCTTGATGTATGTATTTTTGTGATCTTCGTAATGAAAACTTTATAGTATATAGTGATGAAGAAAAAACTTATTTGATTTGATTCGGACTAGTCCTTGATGGAACACTCAATCACTGAAACCTGCTAAAACCTGGAAAATAAATCTGCCAAATAGACCTTATTTCACATATGAGACATGCTACTACATCTCCAAGAAGGCAAACTAGAATAAGTAAAGTCAGGCATTAGTTAGGTTGTTCCAGCAAAACATTAGCAAATTTGGCCAATCTAATTGCATGTCTGTGTCAGACCACAAATTAAGTTCTATGACATTTCATAGAAACTTTGATGCAAGACATGCTGCAAACTCAAGAATAGCGCAACCAAAAGAGATTAGTTAGTCTTGAGCAAGATCAACAAAGATCCTAACAAACGATACTAACCAGAGACGGAAAATTCAGTTTACGCACAATATGCAAAGACTGCCATGTAGTTATGCACAAATATCTGTCTGAAATTCAAAGTATGGAAGCCAGAATTCCTAAAGGATATCCACCACTATGCTACAAAAGTTTATACCATTATATTTGGATTTTCACGTCTGAGCACAGCAGTACAAGTGGTAAACCAAGCTAAACTTCAAAGATCTACACTTGTTAACAACTATAACCTCAGACTTCACAGTATCTCTAAATATAGAACACCACACATTTTATTAGACACAAGTACAACTACATAAAGAGGCTACACCAACTTGAATTATGGGTCTTATTTTTCAATATCAATACTACTGAGACCAAGTTCCTAATGTGTTAGTTAAATGCAAAAGAAGTTAACCTATCCTACAAATATTGAACTTGAAAGTTCTCTACTATGAAAATAAGAGCTTCACAAATTCAAAATTGCAGAAGACAGCAGTGTACGTTTTACCAGGACGCTCTGTGATCAATCCAGTATTTCCAAAGCCTAGTCCAAGGTCACATTGTCCCAAGGCATTTTCATAGCAGTGTAGTGAGAAAATGACAAAAAAGTTCCTTATGTTTGGGGGTCACATTGGACAGTAATAGTCCTTTATGTTCCTGAGAAGCACATGAACTGTTTAAACTGAAGAAACCATGGGAAAAAATTTCTCTCAATTCATACCTTATGAAGAATCCCCCCAAAAGAACAAGCTGAACCAGACCAGATCAGCACCAGAAAACAAGCACAGAGGCCGACAACAAAATTAAAAATCAGATAATTGGGAGAAGAGAAGTCCGCCTTGACAGTTTTTCTAATTTAAACGATTCACACATACATTTGTGCGTTTTAAATATAATGGAGACCAAAATTGCTCAGTTTTGGTTGGGTAGTACCAAGGACTGCCCTCTTGTTAAAAGATGAGAAGGTGAAGTAAATGCAGAAGAGGAAGATCAGCTAACATTGGAAAGACAAAGGAATGGAATTGTCTCAGTAAAGGTTACCTAACCCAATGCAATCTACTGTGAAGGGTATGATGTTATTTAGCAGATGATATTTGTGTAATAAGGAGGCCATGAACTGCACAATAGCTAGACAACTCTAGAACTTATTTAATATGCCATTCGTAATGCCTAAAACAGTGAAGGAATTGTTGTCCACTTGGGGCATAGAAGGATTAGAAAATCACCGAAAAGAACATGGATCATACTGCCAGCTTGTATCTGTAGGATCTTTTGGGGAGTAAGGAACTGTGTTTAAAGAGAACCCGTAGCTGTTAAAGTTCAGATGTCTGTGGTTTTTGGCTTTAGGTGCAACATTCAAGATGTAAAGGATGAAGACAGCAGACTAGACTACACCAATTCACTATAGGAATAAGTTTTATGGTACAATGGGATCCCTTCCTTTGTTTTGTTTTTGTATAGGGGATCCCAGATCATGTAGTAACACGCACTGTCTTAGTGCTTGGTTGTTTTCACTTATAAATTATGGCAAAACATAAAGGACTAAATTTCTCAGGTGTGTACTTAAAGGAGTATATGAAACCTTGATAAAAAAGGATTACTTAAAACCAACGCCAATCATAATGGACTGTTCTTGTCATTTTCTCCATTTGCCAGCTCGTATATCAATCAACTTCTGCCTCATGTTTTTCCAAATGTTATTTTCTTTACCAACCATACAAAACTGGTAGCTTCTGTACTACCCTCACATGATTTAATCCAATTAAAATCAGCAAGCACCAAAATATCTTACAATCTAAAGAAAGCACGTGATCTTTGAGACTTGCAAATCAAAAGGCGTACGTACCCATTGATGTCAAAATCAACATTAGTAAACGCAAGCAAAATTTATATTCAACATCATTTAACACAAGCAAATTTACCTCACATAATTCAAGCTTGCTAAACTTAACAAGAACTAAAATGTACTACATTCGAATGAAACAAACCACATTAAAGACTGACAAAGTAGAACACATATGCCAAGACCATGTTCAAGATTTACAAGATAGAACACATAAGCATATAATGTCTCTATGGTAATAGCGGTCCAGCAGAGATTTTCCATTGATAAGAAGAAAATAAGCATGTTATTATCAACAACACTGACATATGAGATCAAAACCTCAATTGCAAGTACGAACAATAAGAAAAGAATCAGAAATTACCTCAATATTTCATCAAAGCAGATGGCCATTTAGCAACGACAATAGCACTCTTAACCATCTATATCAGGTTCTACAACAGAAACTATGTAGGAAACAGAAGGTAAAAGCCTAAACTAAAATCAACACAATTACATGTCTGAAGCCTCATGGTTCAACTGTATTACCAAGTACAAAAGAAAATGCTTCACGAACTGGTGGATACTCAACAAGTGCAATTTCCGTAGCATATCCAGCAACAGGTAATTTCAGATCCCTCAAAACAGTGAATGCCTCGCCCATACGAGTTTTAGGCACTTCGTCAGCTACTGGGCAATAAGGAATCCATGTATCAGGACGATGCTCCTCCGCAATCTCAATTCCCTCCTTTTTCATAGCATCAAACAGTTGTGAGTGGAACTGAAGGAGAGACAAAGTTGGAGTTGGGGCAAGAAATAGAACATTGTCGTCACTTGGGAGGCTTCCAATTGAACCAAAGGACAGAGGCAATGATTCTTGCTTGGATGAAAAATTCTTTACAATGTTCTCAATCTTTGATGGATCAAAAAACGGACTCGAGAAGAGGGTAATGTGAGGTCTAGACTCAATTTCAATAAGCTGAGTGCTAATCTGGCGCCGAGCCAATACATTCCAGGCTTTCAAGACCTGGTTTTCCAGTGCAGGATCAAAGTAGAGCTCAATTGCATAACCTTGCGACATTGCCTCTATCAAGATTCAGAACAAACACAAAAATAAATCAAGATATCACTAAAAATAAACAGAATCACAAACTTTCGTCAAGTCCCACCAAAAACCAGTAACAAGGAAGACCCCAATGGTACACTATAAGCAGAATTAAAGAAACCCCACAAAGAAAACGAATAAAGCTAGTAATTCTAACAAAGCAGCAACGTAAAACATCACCTACAATAAAGTAAAATCATCAGATACTAAAACCCACAAAAATGAATAGGGATCTCATATACAGAACAAGAAATAACGAAGAGAAATACACTTAAAAAGTAAATCCACACAGAAAAGAATCACGAAACTTAACAATATCAAGAAAAAGATTGAAACCCTAAAGAAACCAGAGAATTAGCTGAAAATTGAGACATACCCAGTTGAAAGAAGAGGCAGAAGGACCGGAAATGCAAACCCAATTTAGAGAAATGATGAACAAATGAATCGCCCCAAAACAGTAGCAGAAAGAAGAGGTTCTTGGGAGAAAGAGAAACAACTCTTTTTCTTGAAAATTTTTGGGCTACAATTCACTGAAAATGGTTAGCGATTGGAAAGTATATATATCCTCTCTTTAGTCAATAAGAAAAGTTGATTTTTTTGTTTAATTGACCATAAAATAGTGTAGTAATACATATTTTACCTACCCCAAAGAAACAAAAAAGAGTAAATGGTAAGAAAAGAAAAAGGAGGTGAGAAATATTTCCTAATTTTTTCATGTTTGATAATTCTTCTCTGGAAAAACAAATTCATTGTTTTCTCTCCATCCAAACCAACTTCGAAATTAGCTCCTCACTTCATATTGTTTTGTTAGATTGCATATAAGTAAGTGATCTTAGAATGATTAATTCTTCTTACTTACCAAACTCACAAGCCTCATTTATTTATTTTTATCAAAACTAATTATTTGAGTCTAAATAAATATCTGAATATTAAGATTTGCATCAAGATTTATATGGTACAACATAAATGTTAAAATATATTATAATCTAAATAAAAATTTTCAGTTTAAAAAAAATATAAAATTTAATAAAATCTTAAATTCATCTAATATTATATCAATAAAATATTTTTAATTTATTTTCTGATTATTGATGATGTTGGTTGTGAATGTCAACCAAGACTAGTATTGACTAATGATAATGTAGTGATTATTAACCGGTGGTGATAATAATTGATCATTTGTGAAGACAAATAGGTGTTGAAAAAGGAAAAAAATGCTACTATTCAAAGCGTCAACACCAATTTGTCCTCTTTCTATCTTTCCTTCCATTTTTCTTATATAATGAATCAAAAAATTTGGACTCGAATTAACATATTGTCCATGTTTTCACACTGTATTATACAAAAAACTTTATTTAGTGGTCTATACATATTTTTTGTTTAAAATAATACAGAAGAAACATCCAAAGAATCCAACTTTGTTTACCTACTTTGATATTTTGTCACAAACTGACTGGAAAGTTTTCATAAACTACAAAAACTGAAGAGGATGTAAAAACATTACATTAATAAACAAAACTGCAAAACTCAAGTTCTGGGTAGATCTTATCCCAAACAAAAGATGGCTAATTTAGTATACAAAGAGAACTATCAAGTCCCACCCACCACATTGATTGTGAAATAATTAAACAAGTTCTGGTCGTAGTGCTATTTGCTACAAAGACTGCAGAATTTTAACCTATACAGGACAACTGATTGGGCATAAAAGAGAGAAAAAACTCATCTTCATGTTACATATGACTGACTTGTGAAGAGTATTAATCAGCAATTCGCCCGAATTTAGAACTCCCATCATCCAGTATACCCATTTGCTTTCTCTTCTTTGATAATTTAGTAGTTTGAAACCCATTTTGCTCAGTAGTAAACTGAGCAGCTGTGCGAGCGCGTAATTCCTCTAGGCTCTCACCTTCCTTGGCTCTCTCCAGAACCTGAGACGTAACATACACATAACATATTATTCGGTGATATTTATGTAGGATATATACAATGCCTAAGAATTGCAAAAGATCACATACCAAATGGCGCCCATACAAGTGAGTACTGGATAGAGCTTCAATGGCGTTCTTTGCCTCTTGCTTCGTGACAAACTCTACAAATGCAAATCCTCTATGGTTCCCAAACCTCATTGGCAGCCTTAAACTCTTAATCTGTAGGATGAATTTAATTTTGAGGTCAACGGAAAAGACATTGAGATTAATAGCTATGTGAAAAATGATTGACGAATGCAAAAAAAAAAAATAACATACATGTCAGACTTTCAAGGGACCAAAGCATCATAATATATATTTTTTCTAGACCTAGCTCCTAGTGGCTAGATCATCTGTTAATTACCATGCACCATTCTGTCTAAATCAACATCTTTCAGACTCATGATTTCCATAACACATTCCACTATCGCTGGATCCTCGAACAAAAGCATTTACAGAATGGAGAGAATCTTAAATACTCACCTAAATCTCGATAAAATAGTTTACCAAGAAAAGTAGAAGTATGACTGAAATAAGACCTTATAGTTTAATCTGTTTTTTTTTTCAATCAAAATTATATATCACAGCAAAAGGAACATGTAGTGTCCAAAGGGTTCTGGAACGATCAAGAGCCAAGGATCATATGATTGCAAATCTTATTCAGCTGGCTCTCAAGATTTGAGCCAAAAGGCAAGGACGTAATCTTTTCCTGAGTCTAGCTTCATGTAAAAATGCCATCATTATGCCTAATATAACTAGAGATAAGAACACAACCTTAAAGCCAATTTAGTTATCCACAAAGTATACGTCATTTGTGGCTACTAAGCCACATCCACATCCTTCCCCAGTTCTCCCCCTCTTCATCCACCCCTCATCTTTTCCCATCCCTCTTCTGTTTCTTCTATATCGTATCCAAGGATAACATCATACCTCATCTTTTCCCCACCCCTCATCTGGAGGTCTGGGAAAACTGGCGCAGATACCACCATTTTAAAATAATAGCAACAATAATTAATCAGGTGAAATTCAGTTTTCACGATTCAGACCAACAGATCAGCAGCACAAGTGCAATTTTATGAGTTCCACACAAAAAAGTCTCACGTGGAATCAAAATGAAACTGTACAGGATATCATGCATGCTCGTGCCTCGCAGCCATATTTATCCTCAACCAACATCTATCTTTGGCACTTCCAGCACAGGGAAACCTAGTATCACCTTTTTACTACATAGTATCACCCTATGTTACCAATAGTTAAGAGGAAGTACCTGCCCGAATGGACTGAATAATTGCCTGAGATCCTTTTCAGTTGCCTCAAAAGCAACATTCCTAACAAGCAACTTAGTTGAACTCTTGTCATTCTCAGCTCTCTTTGGTAATTGGTCCTTCTTAGTGTGACAAAGTTGCAATATAAGTGCATGGCCATCCAAAACAGTTCCCTGAATGACAAGAGGGAAGTTGGAAAATTAGTTATAAGAGCCTGAAAAGTATAGACAGAGTTCAAATCAGAAAGTTTACCTGCAAATCCTTGCAAACGTTGATTGCTGTATCAACAGAATCAAACTCAACGAATCCAAAACCCATAGAGACATTTTTTCCATTCTTTACATGCTTCTTCACCTTCACAGAATAATATTAACAGGTGTTGGATGAAGAGGAGTTATTTTCTCATGCAGCAGGAAGGAAATACTGTGCTCAGATAGTAAAAGTCCCAGTTTTCTAGCTAAAAGAACTTACCCTCACACTTAATATTCGCCCATCCTTTATGTGGTCGGTGAAATGCTTTTTTAAGCTCTCATCCAACGTCTTGAAATTTAGGTTCTTGACATACAGTGATCGTGACTGGAAAGATGGCAAACAAGAATGACAATTGGTTAATGAAACAGGAGACAGACATGGGAAATCAAGGCAGCTAGAAGAACAAACCAAAAGGCAACAAGGAATTTCTAAAACTGCATTGCTATTCCCTACACTTATTTCCAATAACTGAACTCTTTTTGTTTTCGGTGCCAGGGAATATAATGATTATTTGGTAATAGTGGTGCAACTGAACCAGCATGCAATGAGTATTCAATAGTCTGCTGATACCAAGAGTAAGGATCATATTTAAGAATAATTTATATCCGATTTACTGTGAACCTATCTCTTTCTCCCAATGCTTGACTTACAGACTATCAGCCATAATCCATCAAAAACCACTTTAATTCATATGCAGGCCCTAGTTGTTTACCAACAAACTAAAAACTTGAATATATATGTAAGACTTAGTTTAAGAATTTGTAACATATTCCACATTTTTGTGCAACAAAAACATCTCAGTCCCAAGCTAGTTGGGTCATGAATCCTCACTATAATGCCACTCCATTCAAGCCGTCTCTGAACAACATAGGTTTTGCAGTTCATATACCTCAACTCTATCAGGATCAACATCTGGATCCGTTACTCCTTCCACTTGTTGCTCTAGCAGCACTCTCTTTGCATCATCTTCACCAACAACAAGAGCATTTTTTGAATCACTTGTTTGATCAAGAATATTTCCAGGAGCCCACTCCAAATAAAGGGGAGTGTCCCTGCATTAGGACCAAAGGGAAAAAAATTACTTCAAAATTCTGAACTTACAAAACTCTATCAAAATAATTGAATATGAAACACAGCAAAAATGATATATGCTAGAAAGAACAAAAGGCAAACTAGGAGAAATCTCAATCTTGCAAAATCTAAAACTGAAAGGCATTTTCTAAAGCAAGACACCAGAAAGCAAAAAAGAACTCTTTCCCCATTTCTCAGGGATTTTCAGTTATCTAAAACAAAATTTAAAGATAATGTAATTCCCTTCTTCTCCTTCCACGGCTTTTGTCTAATTTTGAGTCTTCTCTAAGTAACATCAACTGAGCTAAATAAATTGCATTTTGTTTCGAGAATACAAGGGGATATCAGTGACAAAGGAACTATTGGAGTTAGAGTGAGGACACAGTAAGATTTAGATTGGGGATATTTGGCTTAACACCATTGAACAAAGGTGGAGCAAGAAAGAAATAAGGTAGAAGGCAAAACAGGGTTAAGAAAATTAAGTGGTTGAATACACATGTCAGGCGCAATATTTCACCTCCCAATGCAAATCTAGTAGTTTCATGGGAAGGGGTATTTATTCCACTTCAGAAAAGACTAAGAAGTAATAGGACCCTTGCAAAGTTTAAGTGTATAGTTGAAAATTCACAATTGAATTGAGGGGTATTTATAATCTTACTTTGTCATCAATCATGACATGAAATTTTGTCTCTACATATACTGCTACTTGTTCAACTAAGAAAATCACCTTTCGTATTGAAGGTAAGAAATGGATGTATACACTTACTTGTAACGTTTGTATGCTAGACCCCGGAAAGCTGAACGTGCTTCTGCCGGTTCTAGGAAGACAACCTGATAGTTAATAATCACAGAAACAGCAAACAATCTTGTTATGTCCGACTAATTCACGTATACTCACATCAACAGAATCATAATTACGTATACTGAGCTTGAAGGAAGGGAATGACTACCACCCTATTGGAGGGAAAAGTCACGAAGCGGATAGATAACCATTACAGTTCAAGAATAGTCATTTCAAGCCAAAGGCTACAAAGATAAAGGCACATACCAAAGCTAAGGTTTTGGTAGGAGGAAGAACAATTTTATCCAGGCTCCCAAACTTCCCAAACATATTTGCAAGTTCACCTTCTGATGAACCATAAGGCAAGTTCTTAACTAGAATAACATGATTGCTTCGTTTCACCCCATCAGTTTTTCCAGCAGCGTATTCTTCCAAAGAAACAATATTAACTCCAGCTTTTGCAAGAGCCTTTTTTGTCTCCGCTATCACTTGAGTCTCGCCCAACGCTATACGCACAGCAAGATCATCAGCTTCTCTATCAAGGAGATCACTTTTACTCACACCAAATTTTCTTGCAATATTTTCAACAACCTAAAATGTTTCGAAGAACAGACGGAGATCATTTTTACATTCAAGAAAAAGTTCAAAATCTGATACAGTATGATGCATACTCAACCTAAAAGCGAAGTAATTAAAGATCCTGAAGCATTTCAGAAATTGATCAGAGAAGTAGTAAGATAGCTTAAAAGAATTTGAACTACCAAATCATCTTACAAGAAGAAGAATGTAGAAACTAAAATAACTACAATCTGATCAAATGTAAACAAGATAAACCCAGCTTATTACGGCAAACATCAAAGATCTTTAAGGGTCAGTTTGGAAAGCCACTTGGTAATTGGAATTGGTGTAATTACCAGGGTAGTAATTACCAGCCTAGTAATTACACTGACCTGTTTGGTTGCCACAATGTAATTACACTGTAATTACAGATGTCCTGTTTGGATGCCACAGTGTAATTACACATGTTCTGTTTGGATGCACAATTGCAATTATAAAATTATAATAAATTTTAAAAATAAAAATTAATTATTTAAAATTTATACTAGACAAATAAGAAACTTTATAAATGACATTTATATTTTTTCAAATTAATATATTTCAATTGAATTGATCGTAACAACTAAAAGTATGAAGTTTCTACGAATATCGTAAAGTGCATGTTTGATAAAGAGAATAATTTATAAATAAAATGTCATATATTATTAAATGTTTGACAAAAATATAATCTATCAAGTCTAATTAAAAAATGACGTGCAATGTAAATTCAATATTACTAAAACAAATGAAACTGAAAATATAACATAAGTTATAAATTCAAAACAAAAAATTTAACATAATACTCTTATAATAAATTTCAACATAGCAATAAATATGATTTATTTTTATTTTTTCTTAATAAAGAAAACGTAAGTCTATAACCTTACTTAACAATAAATTCTATTTTAATTTAAAAATTAGAATACTAATAAAATTATGCTAATGAGAAAATAAGCATGACATAAAGAAATAGATAATACGAAAAAATTACATAGAATCATGTAAAGTAAGGTTGAGAGCAAGAAGAAAATGAAATATAATAATATAAAATAAAAAATACTTTTACAAATTTTTAGAATAATAAAAATAAAAAAAGAACTTAAAATAATAGAAGTAAAAAAAATTAAAACAAAAAATAAAAAAAGAAATTAAAAAGTAATCAGGTGGTAATTACACCATGTAATTACCAGCAATTCACAACATCTGCCTGTGAATTGTAGAGTGTAATTACCTCCTGTCAATTACACCAATTACCTGCTGACCAAGTAATTACATGTCCTTCCAAACAGGACAAGACAATGTAATTACACCAATTACACCAAATCTAATTACCAGGATGTCCTTCCAAACAGGCCCTAAAAGTTTCTGTCCATATCCCCTTCCACCCTCACCCCCAAAGAAAAAAAACAAAGCATCCACCGCTAATTTGTACTATGTTTGGTTGGGCTTGGGGAAATTTAATCTCCACAAAAAAATCCTCATCAAGTTGTACAATGTTTGGTTGTTAGTTATTGCTTTCCTAACAAGATGTTCATGTTACAAGTTACAAGAACACAGAAAAATCAAGGAGCATCCTGACTAATATGTAGACATGTAGAAGCACAATAAAATCACCAGTTGATCTTACTCTTTCTAGAAAACAGAAAAAAGATGGATATCCATTTATAATATTTGACAGTGTACATACAGTGTCTGGCCGCATAAACAGAGTATTCCAAGATTGTGTATTTCCACTAGCTTCAGATGCCTTCTTTTCCTCTTGTCTCTTCTGCTTAAATGTGTTTGACGATTGCTTGGTATTAGCAATTGTCCTACAGATTAATAAATGACCAATCTTATTATAGCATGGTAGATCCCATATTAAAAAGAAAAAAGAGAGAGCTTCTCTCACATAAATGTAATAAGCAAACGATCTCAATGGATATGAACATTAAAATGAGTAGGAGAAAACCACTTACTCTGCCTTCTCTGGAGAAATTTTCTGCTTCGCTGGCATAACATGAAGTAATCGTCCTTGAAAGATTGAACTGTCCAGCTCTGCTAATGCCCTGGAAGAAACAATAAATGAACAATAGCACTGTGAACATGCAAAATAGACATGCATAGAACTCATGTATATCAGTGTGCTCCTGGCAGGTAAAAAGTGCAGTAGCTTAGAATTTGGATGTTGATTGACAGGTACCTAGCAGCAGATTCTGGTAATGGATAGAGAACATATGCAATTCCTTTGGACCGCTTTGTATCTTTGTCAACAACAATATGAACCTGTGAGACATTGCCAAATGCTTTAAAGTGTTCTTCCAGCTCCTCTTCCCTGAGTCATAAACCCATTTGTTTAACAAGAACATATATTAGGTTCATTAAAATCATAAAACAGTGCAACATATTGAGTTGACTAAATCGCCCAAAAAAAGGAAAAAGAAGAACGAAGATGTATTACGTAGTGGTGTATGGAAGGTTACGAACAAATAATCGTCCGCTCTCCAGATTTTCTTCTTTTTCATCCTTAACACTTGATGAAGGGTCAACAGGCTCAAGCGACTCATTGTTAGATCTGGTGAGCCCATCACTCAAAAATTCCTCTGTATCATCAGGTTCAAGGATATTACCAGCATTTGCATCTTCACTGCTCTTGTCACTTTCATTATCACTACCATCGTCTTCACTACTTTCTGAGTCGGACCAATCTTTCCTCACTCTACTTTTGAAATAATCCGTATCGGTCATAACTTCATCATTATGGGAGCCGCCAGGTTTCTCAGATTTTTCACTATCTGACAGAGATTTCTTTTTTTTAATAACCTCGTCCAACTCAGAGTCATCAGTATCCGTTTTTTCCTGGCTAGTTTCTTTTTTCTGGTATTGCTTATCGCCATCCTTTTTACTTCGGGCAAGAGACGGAGCTGTTAATGCATCATTTGCCCACAACTTTGACTTACTCCGAGGCTGCATAACTTCAAGGAACTCTTGAAGCTGAGGATCCTCATCCTTACTCTCCTGTTTACTATTCTTTTTGTCCCCTTTTAAACCTGCAGACTTAGAACTTTTGTTTACTATTGCATTCTCATCCTCATTTGTCAATATCTCTTGTTTCTTCAAAGTGTGCCTGCTCCATGGACGAGGGATATTTGGATCCCCAATTTTCCTAGCAATCTGGCTATATGAAAATGAATTTCATGTGTCATTCAAGCACATCACCAATGAATGGCTACTCTCTTATAGAAAAATAATTATCACAACCTAACAAAGTAAATATTCCTGAGCTTATTAGGAGGTTTTCACTAGTTACTTGGAAATTTTTATAAAGGTGCCATTTTTAATGTTCCTATTGTCTCACTGTGCTTTACTTGGCACAGAGTTTAAGAAAGAAAGACTTTTGGAACTCCTGGTCTAACACAAACAGTGACAGTGTGTGGCTATAAATAGGGAAAATTAAAATAAAAGTAAAGTGAAATTAATTCTAAACATACAAAGAAGACGTTCTACTCATTCAAAATAATGGAATATGAAATAGAGATGCATTTTCTTCTTCCGCTAAGTCTGTATGTCACTGGAGCAGAATATCATAATAACTGAAGCAGAAAAGACATACCTCACAAATAATACGACTACTATCCATGAAAGACTTGTCAAAATACTTGATAGCTTCCTCAGCCTCTTGCTCAGTTCGAAATCCTACAAATCCAAACTGCCTGCTCTTCCCATCTCTGTTTATCATGACAATCATTCAATGTCAAATCAAAGTAGTAATAAACATACCCCAAAATATCAATACTACCAAATAGCAACTCGTATATACCAGTCAAAAAATCAATAGTCAGCTGAAACACTGATAACAACTGAAAAACATTAATGTTACTACACATCAACACCAAGTTCTTTACTAATTGTGGTTTGCTATATGAATGGTCTATAGTTGATTACTCCATTTTGACCCGTTCAGTCCAATAAATTACAGACTCAGGCATAGAGTTTGTCTACAGCTCACATTACTTTTACCAAAAAAAAATAGGAAGAGCAAAAAGGAGGAGAGAAACTTAACGAAGTACGCATAAGCTTGGCATCAGTGACTTCCCCTTTCTGAGAGAAGAATTCTCTGAGGCGGTCCTCGGCTACATACTTTGGCAAATTCTTCACACATAGACGGGACCTTCAATACAAAATAAAACATTATAAACATTTAACTACTATCCAAGAACACCAACCCCAACAAAGAAAAATCAAAGTTTTGCAATCCAAATTCAACAGAAACTCAAAACTCAGTTCTGGGTTTCCTTAAAATCAAACTTAAACCACATTGATCAATAAGTCCTACAACCCCACCAAGAAAAATTACCAAATCTTGGAATTCCGAAACAAACATCAATTCTTTCAACCTGTGCAAGAACTTTCAAGTCTTTTTTTATTTGAAATAATAAGGATAACCTTAACAAAAAACATAAAGAAGATGCAAGAACTTTCAAGTCTTTGCAATTACAAATCAAACAGAGACTCAAGAACTCAATTCTTGGTATTCTTTAAAGTCAAATTTAGTTTTTTTTTAAAAAGGGAACATTCTTACATTGTATTGTTGCCAAAATTCAACGTAATCTGCGTTTGGTTTTGCTTCAACGTAAGCTAAGAGAGAAGAAAGACTGCGTTGGCGGTAAGGGTTTAAGCGATAGTATGATATGGAAACGGATCCGGGTCGGCGTGGAAGTAGGGTTCGGTAATGAGAAGAAAACGGATCCGGGTCAGCGTGGAAGTAGGGTTCTCTAATTTTCTTAAAAGGAAAAGAAGTTTCTATTTGCTCTATTCAGTATTCACTCTGCTCTATTTTATAGGAGTAAAGTAAAGTAAAGTAAAGTAAAGTAATATATAAATACCGAAAAGAGCTTTTTAAAATAATAATCAACCCAAGTAATTTGGGTAATTTTCTAGGAAAAATTGCTCTAAAAATCAAATGAGACATTATTTACCCTATAAATCTCAATTCATTTTTCAAAAAGATTTATTTTACCCTTAAAATTATCAATATTTCTCTATTACTCTTTTACCTGTAATATAAAAATTAATTTTTCTGAAGTAAGAAAGGTGGAAAATAGTAATCAAAACATACCATTTATGATATATATATATTGCGAAAATAAAATCTTAGCTTTGAGATAGATATTATTAACAAATTATTAAAAAAAACCTGAATTTATAAACGTTAAATAAAATTTAAACTATGTTTTAAAAATATTTCATTATTAACATTAGAAATGAATAATAAAATAACGAGCATAAAAAATAGAATAAAAAGATATCGTACGAATAATATTAATATTAATCAAACTTTGAAATATATGTACACAATAATTTTCTATTTATTCAATTCATATTGTGCACAAGTAAATTCTTAGTTATAGCCTATAAGAAAAATATTATTAACAAATTATTGAAAGATTACGCTTTAAATTGACTTTAAATTATGTTAAAAAATTATTTTATTAATACTATTAGAAATGTTTGTTTTTTTTGTTAATTTTTAATATTAAATTTTCATATGATATACTTACGATCATAATATTTTAAAGTATTCTTTTGTAATATTTAATTACTAATTATATTTTCTTAAATTCAAGTAAAGTCAAAATTATATTAATAAATTAAAAAGGAGGGAGTCATTTAGATAATATTATTATTTAATTTTTAATATTTAAATTTTTCACTAATAAAGATTATGATGATGGAATAAATATTTTTTCATCTTTAATTAAAAAATTTAAATTTCTTAGTACGGAATCGAGAGAGTGCTTTAAAACTTGCCCACACTTGCCAAAATTTTCATCAAAATAATCTCTATTAGAAACTATTTATAAGACCAATCACACCATTAATGACTGCTTCATAACCATGAGATCAATTCAAAGACTGCGTTTCCTTTCTTCACCATATCTTCTCTCACGTTTCACTCCTAATTCTTTGCCTTTCACATCATCTTCTTCTTTTCCTCATGCCCTAATAGAACCCACAACAAGCACAATTGCAGCCACTTCTCTGACCCAAGAAGAGCTTACACAAATCAATCTACTAATCCCACGTTTATGCTCTTCAAATCACCTCAAAGAAGCTGCTAATCTCATCACAACAACATTTCTCACAAACCCATCTTTAGAATCAATCTCTGTTTCCATTTTCATTCACAGACTCTCTCTTGAACCTGACCTTACACAACCCATGTACTTCCTCAATCGCCTCAAGTACACCCCAAAGACTCAATCTTTTCTATTGCCCATTTGTAAAATGTTAGTTTCTTTGTATTTTAGGAAGGGAGGCTACTAAAGGGTTAAAGATTTTTCATTGGGTGTCAAGGCCTGATTTTCCTTGTCCAGTGGATTACGGATTGTGTGCTATTTTGGTGAATGGATTTTGCAAGAATGATATGGTTGTGGAGGGTTTAAAGGTTTTGAGGATGATGGTAGTTGGGAATTTGAAGTTTGGGGGTGAGGTTAGGATGTGGGTGTATAGAAGTCTTCTGAGGGAGGCCAGGATTAAGGAGGCTCAAGAACTAAATGAAGCTTTGAAGTGTGTTGAGAATGGGGACAAGGGAAATGAGGAAGTGGTTGCTTTGTTGGATAGTATAATCTCAAATTGGATTGAATAGAGTGTTTAAGGTAAATTATTTGGCTAATGACTACTATCTATGGCTAATGCTATTTGGTGTTATGACTTGTGCTACTTTCTTTCTTGCAGGAGAAAACTAAAATGAACTGAAAAATGGGCAATTTTACAGCATTTGCATGAATGATTGTGATTGCACTTCCGAATTACAAGTTTCACTCAAGTTGGTAGTGTCAATTTGTGTTCCTAGGCTTTGTTTTCTTTAATTATCAGTTAAGTTTGTGCAGATTTCCATTGTTATATTGTGGAGATTATCAGCTCACAGTTTGATAAACTATTGTTTATTGCTTCAATGCCCATTCTCAGTAGTTTTTACCGATAGTCATATAGTTCTTGCATAATACTCTACATACCTTTGTTAATTTTTCTGTGCTTATTGTGGATAGTTGTGTTATACTTATTTTGCTCCTCTATTTTGTACAAATTTCATCATCATAGATGTAATCTTTATGAAATGCTTTACAAGAATGCGTATTTGCACCTGACTGGCTAAAAAGCCTAATCTTTTACTTTTGGACTGTACGTGTCTGTTTGACTTACCATTAAGCTTGGAATGTGTTACGTACCTTCCGTATCCTGTCCCCTCACTGTATTTGTAGTTTTTAGTTCTGTTGTTAATTAGATGCACTTATAAGTGCTTGTGAGGTTGTAAACAAGTTAGTTCCAGAAGTACCTGTCTCTCTCACCACCATTGGCTGGTTGGTGGCTGGGGGTGTAGGTGATGCTGAATGTTTTAAGCAACTACTCAAGATAGCAGAAATATGCTGCAAAAGTCGCCATATTTTCTCTAAATGTTTGAGTAGTAGTAACTTATCTAATCATAAGATCAAGATAATGGAATAAGATTTTGAATCTTGTGGATAAAGGTGGATAAGGGGAAACACTTGGAGATGGGGGTAAATACAGAAATATGCATGGCTGGTTTGAAAATATGTATAGGAACCAGCAGAAGAGTATGCTTATTATGAATCCTTGCTCGTTGTACACAAAACTTGGAACTTGATAAGACTTGTGTCTTTTATATAGCCTTCTTTTAGTTTCTGTGCATCTTTGTGTTCTTAAACATTTGCACATTAAGCAAAAAGATGGACTGGACATTCTCTGGTTTTAAGTTGAATTAGTTGTACAAAAAAGTTTTTTGGACACTAGCTTCACTCGACATAATTCAACGTTTGGAGAGAAGTGAATTTCTGATGCCAGCTTAAGTTCCCTATGTCTTTAGCTCCTTCATTTCACACTAAATTGAGACACCCGTGGTTGTTTTTGTCATCTAGCCACTTGGGACCTCTCTCTGTCAAAGTTGACATTGGTACCTCTTTGATGTGTTTTAAAGCTGGTTTCTGACATTTTTTTCTATTTTGCAGAGATAAGATCGATATTTTATTAGTTTCTTGATCATGGAGATGGACATCACTTAGCTTATGTTAACCTTCGGTTTCTGTTGTAGTTTTAAGAACTTCTAAATGTTGTTAATGCACTTGTATTTGTTGCTTACTTGAATTTCCTTTTGCTTGTGGTAGATTTTACGAAAAATATGACAGGACTACTTGTTTCTCTGAAGCTACGTGATTTATGAGTCAATTTAGTTCTGAAGCACTGGTACCTTTCTTTTTATAGGACCTCTAATTCCTTTTGATTTTTTTTCTCTTCCTTTTGTAGAGATATTGTCTTTGGAGGGAGGATGTGGCCTAGTCGATGAAGTTGGAGTAAACTCCATGGAAGACTAAGGTTCAAATCTCAAATAGAGGCAAAATAGTTGGGTGATTTCTTCCTTCTGCCTAAACCCTGGTTGTAGAGTTATCATGTACCAACAGTACTGAAAGGATACAAGTATCTAGTGGAATAGTCAAGGTGCATGCGACCTACTCATGCTCAGTGATAAGAGAGCATTAGCATCTCAAGACGAGATCTCCATAGTGTCAATGACTTTAAGTTTGTGATATCTTGTTTTTCTTTGGGGTTCAGGACGTGCTGCCATCAAACATCCTAACTCAGTCGTATGCATAACTGGAGATGAGATTTACTTTATTGAAATGTTAACTAAGATTGCATCCAGTACTTTATTTGTGGTCGTATTCCCAGATTCGGTTAAATTAGTTGACAGGTTGAAGTTGAAGAGCTTCTCTATAAGTAACAAAATGTCCAAATGTTTTTCCTGATATCTTACACGGCTTTCTGATTGCAGATCTCATGCATTATTAGATATCTCTCTCTGGCATCTTGGTTCATTGTTGCGATTATTTCTCGATCATTCCTCTACTTCATCTTTATGTTTGAGGCAAAAGATGATAAGACACTTTTTGGAATTTTATTTTATTTTATGTTCCAGTACCACGGAACTGTTGGTGGGATACCTGAAAATTGGAAATCGTGTAACAGTGTCTGGTGAAATTTCAATTAGATAATGAATGATCTTGTACAGCCAGATTGCTCCCTTCATCTTCTTTCTTGATTTACTCATTCATTTTGGCATATGTTATGATTTTGTATATGATACTATGAAGGCTGGTGAAAATGGTCAAAATTCTGATAATGGTCCAATGGAGTCATGTTGTCCAACATTGATATATTTGTCAATCAACTAAGTCTTGGTCCTAAATTAGTTGGAATGAGTTGTGTCAATCCTTTGATTTTTTCAAATCATAATTTGATCGACTATGCTTTGAACGATACATAAGTAGAAATAAGTGCAATTTTATTTGTAAATCCAAGAGTATTTATTATCCCCTCATAGGATTTCTTCATAGTAATGTAAGCGAAAATCACGAAAATTCTTATATCTAACTAAGGTTGAGCCATCAGAAAGTTTTTGAGGAATAAATTATGAAATTATTACTATTAAGATAGTATTAATTATTGAGGAGTAAATTATAGGTCTTGATCATGTCAATCGTGAGTTCAATTCACATGATTTTTTAAAAAGGAAAAATCCTTTTGGCCAGAATGGTAAAATAACATATTTCACACTATTTTATTTTATCCTTTTAACTTCAATATCTTTTAATTAAAAAATGAAAAAAAGATCTATTTATTTTAAAATAAAAAAGATATTATAGACTTTTTAATTTTCTGGCCAAATTCTGATTAGCATTACTCTTTTAAAAAATGTTGTGATTAAACTTTGCACGAAATGATGTACTCTAAAAAGCAATGTGCATTCAATGTAAATTATAGATCTTGATCATGTCAATGTAAAATTGGGCACATTTTAAAAACTCATTTGGATAAATATTTTATAACCCGTCGTTTCCGATAGAAAATAAAGAATATCTTTTAAAAAATAAAATTAAGTAGCAGTATTGTTGTTGAATAAAAAAGGAAAAACAAGAGTCGAAATAATTTAAACCCCGGAAAAACCCTCTCACTGTTATTTTGACATTAGAGTGGATAACGTTCCAAGAAATGAAATAATTGTGTGTGAATTTTCTTCACTGAAATTCCACTAAATTTTCAGCTTACTCTCAAGAATGGTTTCTTCCACCATTCTAATTCAGCAACCGACGAACTTCTTCCACCAGCCAGAGTTTCACCATCAGGTTAGCCTTCGCAACACCCCCACCCCCACAAACCCAAAACATTCAAGAATGAATCTTTTTTGCTTTTTTAATTTTCTGGGTGTTTGATTTTTTGTTAATTGAACCAGTTATGGAGAGGTCTGCACCATGGATGTGCTGCATCATTGCAGAAACATCCTATTTTTGTATGTAATAGTAGCAAGAGAAACAGACCTTCGAGAGTTTCTTCAATTGCTAATGGTGCTGTTACTTCTTCCACTTTGGAGGCTTATGATTCTTCTCCGTCTCCTTCTGCATTTCCTCTTTTTACACTCCCTTCTCAACCCCAAGATACTCCTGCTTCTCAGGTATTTTCTACTTGCCAAAGTTTCCTTCTTTTTCATGTTCTTGAATTTCAAGTTTAGTTAATCACTTATTGTTACTTTCTGTGTAATAAATGCTGTTTTCATTTGGTAAGCTCACTGTTTAAGTGCTCACTTATGCAATATGCAGCACTTTTATGTACTCTTTTCTGTAGTATGAGTTTTGGCACTGCATACATTTTCCTCTTCAGTCATGGTTTCTTTTACTCTACTAGTATGCCAAACAAACAATGGACAACAATAAGCACTAGTCTCTCAATAAATTGAAGTGTCAGCCAGGCAGTTGATGTTTGGACAAGATAGGAGTTACACTTTGAAGATCGATGGAGTCGTTCTTATGAATTGGTTTTGTTCCTCATTTGAGATTTTCTTCACAAATTCTTTGGGTCTAGGTATAGAATACTTTCAGGTCCCGTATAATTTTTTTGGTGATTACTATGTTAGCAATATAAAATGTTCTACGTCAGGTATAGGGGAATCATATACCTAAGGCATTGTACTACTCCCCCACTGCATAATTTTTTCTTTGATAAGTCAGAATTTATTACCAATTAGTAAGACCGTTCTCACACGCGTGAGTCTGCATTCAGATTCGCCTGTGTTTTTCAAGTACGGGGGAAGGGGTTTTGGATATATAGAATGCCTAACATCTGGTGTTTAGGGGCATCCAAAGGGTTATAAAGATTTTGAGCTACTCCCCAATTACCTTAAGATTTTCAGGTAGATGCTCAAGTTCATTCTCACATTCTCATGCGTAAATTTCCCATTTTTATTGTTGCATAGTCAAACTAATGGTTGGCGTCCCTCTATTTTCTCGGTCTTACATCCTTTGATTTTCTTTTGAGAAGCTGATGAACATGTATTTTTCTATTTGATTATTTCAAATTATCCTTATTTTCTCCTGTTCTTATCGTTGATGATGGTGATATAACATTTTTATATGAACAGTTGGAACTGGCAGATCCTGATTTCTACAAAATAGGATATGTTAGAAGTTTTCGAGCCTACGGAATTGAATTCAGGGAGGGACCAGATGGGTATGGAGTGTTTGCTTCCAAAGACGTGGAGCCTCTCCGTCGAGCTAGGGTGAGCACTATCTTACAATATGTTTGTATGTAGAACGTTTTCCTCCTCCTGATGAAATGCTTAACTTTACCATCGGAAGCAGTGTCAAATTTAGTGCTCTATCAATGTTTTGCTATACCAAAAGCTGAACTTCATCCCATCAATTCCACCATGAAATTGGTGGGAGTGGGAAAAAAGGACATGGGAGAATTGTAATACCTTTTATCTACCTTCCTTCTTTCTGGGATGAGTATCCTTTTTATTTCCCTCATTTGCTTTTTAACAATGATAAGGTGTATGTGTCAGTGGCTAGGCACTTCTAATTCTTCTCCTGATGTGGTGTCTATCATGTTCTACATAGTTTTGACTGGGACTAATTCATTTGGCATTAGCTTGACTGTTTGATTGCTCTTTTCGCACTGATTATCTTCACACCTTTTCGTTATCACTAAAATTCAGTGAATCATGAGGTTTTGTTTGTAATGCAGGTTATAATGGAAATTCCTTTAGAACTTATGTTAACCATAAGCAAAAAGCTTCCTTGGATGTTTTTTCCAGATATTATACCTGTAGGACATCCAATATTCGACATTATCAATTCAACCAATCCTGAGGTAAAAGGATGCATTTTTTCCTTTTAAATATTTTATATTTTCCTATTAAATATTTTCTAATGGAACACATGGGAGAATATTTATCCACATTTTCTTTGATTGGATAAAAAATAAAAATAGTCGTCTTACCTTTTCCCTGATGGTACACATGAGAGGATATTTATCTGCATTTTTAGTTGTTTTTATGCTTTGATTTTTTTCATCTTCTGTTTGGTATTCTAAGATCTCTTGTGACTTTTTAATATTGATTACCTTCTTATGGCAGACAGATTCGGACTTGAGGTTGGCATGCCTTCTTTTATATGCTTTTGATTGCAAGGACAACTTTTGGCAGCTTTACGGAGACTTCTTGCCTAGTGCTGATGAATGCACTAGCTTTCTTCTAGCTACTGAGGTCTGGATATGAGTATCATCCAAATTTCGGTGCTTTCAATTAATGTAATATTTTGAGGAAGATTCTATAGAAAATGCTATGCATTCACAAAATTAATTCGCACTTTGTTATGGTGTTCTTCTGAGGTTCAAGTTTGATTAACTCGAAATGTGAAAAAGAAAAGCTTTTGTGATGTTCACATTGTTATGTGACCTTTGCTATTAGTGTGTTCTAATTTATAACAAAATTTTCTTCGACTGAATCTTGTTTTGTTCCATGACTGTTGAAGCTCTCTTCTATACCCTAAGTCTATTTTGGAAATACCATTTTGGTTTTCAATCTGAAAATCGATATGTGGTTGAAGCTTCTTCATTTCTGTGCTTTGCATTTTCCGTTAGTCAGCTGGGCTGGTTTTGATCAGAAAGATTTGTTGCAAACAGAAACATGGAATGACTGCATTTGGCATATACTTGGTGGATTAATTTCTAGAATTTCAGTGCTAGAGTTATAAATAAACGCTTGTTTTGTGTTCCTGATGCTCTTACTTCTTAATGCTTTCTGTGATGTAGGAGGATCTTTTGGAGTTGCAAGACGAGAAGCTTGCTTCAACCATGAGAGAACAGCAACACCGGGCACTTGAGTTTTGGGAGAGAAACTGGGTACAAACAATCTTGTTCAATCTCTTTCCTCCAAATTCCTTCTCACTAACATTGGCCTTTGACTTTCTTTATTTGTTTAGCATTCTGCAGTACCTCTCAAAATTAAGCGTCTTGCTCAGGATCCTGAGAGATTTATTTGGGCAATGAGTATAGCACAATCTCGATGCATCAACTTGCAAACGAGAATTGGTTCACTGGTTCAAGATGCAAATATGTTGGTACCTTATGCTGGTGAGCTTCTTTATTGTATTTCTGTATAAAATTTCAATAGTGAAATCGGGGGCTTTAATTGGTTTATTCACACAACGCAGCACCCTATTTTGACAGATTGAACTTGGCTGAGATGTTAGTATGAATGGCATTGTTTATTTAATTTTTGTTTTGATTGGTCTTGAAGTGATGCTCATGTGTACTTTTAGATGTTAAGTGGATCAAAAAGAGCAGATCCACGACTGCAGTAACAAGTTAAGCAGTGAAAAATATGTTCAGTTTTCAGTTTACTGAAACCATGCCAATGATAATAGTGTGTATTCCATTTTTTCCATTTTTAAAAAAATAGCTATGCTCCTTGAGGTTCTCCCTCTGCAGTCTGCATGATGAAACTTGACGCAGTTA